TTTACACCTAAATATGTAGTTTGCTAACTAAATATTTAACTTGCAAGTTAAGTATTTAGCAAGATAAACGCCTAAAAACAATTATTTGTTTGCTAGAAATTATAGCAAAGGTGTGTCGCAGTCTAACGTTTGCTCTATAAATGCACTTTAATGGTCAAATTAGTTGCCGGTGCGGTGCAGCTGTTTTGACGTTTCCAAGAAGCGAGCAGAATGAAGGTGGGAACTCTACGGCAAGCCGATTGTGTCATTAATAGCCGGTGAAGATTCTCAGTCATCCAGGACATGGTAAATTCATAAAAGTTCAAGACAAAAACAAGTATAAAATAAGGTATAATAAAAAAAATTCCAGTTGTTTTTGTCTTGAACTTTTTTGAATTTGTCATTAAAGCCACATTTAGCTATTACATGATACAATGGCATGCCATACAGTTACTACTATTCTGCTGCCATCTAGTGGCTGAAAGTGATACTGCTCAATAGTTTTTTTCAGTCAGACTGAATGAAAACAGTCATATCTCAGACAAAATTATAAATATGGAAAAAAAATCCATAAATATGTCGTTTCGGCCTATAAGTCACAGGGAAAGTCAATTATGCAAAAAACTGTGACTTATAGGGCGGAAAATACTGTATATGAGCTTTGGGCTAAATTTGTGTTAGCGTTCTAGCAGGCTACCTTAAAATGGCATCCTTTGTATTTTCGCCTTTACAAATGAAACGATACTTTCAGATGCTTTGAAGTGGGATTTTGTAGGAAAAATAATTATTACTTGTTTATAGACAACTTCAAAAAGAATTTCAGTTTAGAGAAATGGAGTTTAATTCTCCTCGTTTTGAGAAGCTAACAGCTAACCCCAGACCAGCGTGGATTGCTGGCATCCTAAACTGTTCCAGTTGCTAAAATACACTAACATTTAATGTGGACACTTCTTTATAAACTATTATACTTCTGTTAAGTTTACAATACAAAGTTATTTACAAATAAATTTGCTGTTGTTTGCAAGCGCTAACAGCAATAGCTATCTGTAGCTCTTTCAGTGCGGCCCTTAAAACTTCAAGCAGGAATATAATATTTCTGTGGGAATGATTGGAAATAAATAGAAAATTAGACGAGAAACAATTATTTTCTAAATAGATCAAAAACAGCCTCCTAGCATTAGTAGTGTTTATGTGCTTAAAATATAATACACCAGATAAAGAAGTCAGTTATCAGGTCTCGCTTGTAAATGAGTCCCCGAGGCTCAATGGGATTAATCTGTAGAAATAAAGGTTGAATGAAAAGTAATTTGTGCTGAAAAGAAACTACCATTATCAGAAGGCAAATAAACACTAAAGTCTAACTTTGCACAGAAACACTTAAAACAAATATTAAAGAATAATTTACGTCATGCCAAAGTTGATCAAACTTTGCTTACAGCTGTTGCTGGTAGTTTACATTAAACAACGACAGCTGGGAGATTAATGTGAAATATAATAATATGGTTTCACATTGCTCTGAGCAGTAACAACAAAACCACATTTCTGAGTTTAGTTTGACCGAACAAAGTCAAAACTTCTCACTTTTGGACAAAAGTGGCTCAGTTGATAGAGCTGTTCTCTCAGCAAGAAGGTCTCCGGTTCAAATCCTGGACTGGGACCTTTCTGAGTGGAGTTTGCATGTTCTCTCCGGGTATTCTGATTTCCTCCCACAGACCAAAAACATCCATGTTTCTGGTAACTCTCTTGGTGAGAGAGACGGTGAATGCGGTGTTTTCCCAAATGCGCTAGCTATAAAGCTAGCAGAGGTAGCGCTCCGCTTCCCTCACACTGATCCGATCTGATTCCTTCAACCTCCCCCCCCCCGGTAGAAACTGGGGAGAAACAGCGCGCAACACAGGCGTCCACGATTTTTATCTATGGAAGAGGCATGTTACCGAGGAAACACTGGAACGATTGTTCGACTCATTTGTCTCTACGTGTCCCTGTGATGGACTGGAGACCTGTCCAGGGCGTTCCCCATGTCTTGCACAGTGATGGCTGGACATGGGCACCAGTGACCCCCGTGACCCTAAAAGGACGAAGTGGGTAAAGACAATGGATGGATGGTTGGATGGATAGATTATCTTCCAGAGGAGTTTCCCCAGATTGTTGTAAAGCGCTTTGAGTCTCTTGATAAGATAGAAAGGTGCTATATAAGTACAGTCCATTTACCATTTACAGTTTACACACACACACACACACACACACATATATATATATATATATATATATATATATATATATGTCTTGTCAGACCAAGCAACAGCATAACAAAAAACCCTCAAACTTACACAGTCAGTGGAGCATTTGAAAGAATTAGCCCAACAAACTGAGACTAACCCATGAGGGTTACGCAACTGTGTTTATTTAAAGCTAAAACTTTTGCTGGGCTCTAAGTGACAAGCAAATATCTGCATCTTGGCATTTAGTAAGACTCCATTAACAACAGAAACTGCATCATTTGAGCAGAGGTGACGGTAATTCACTGAATTTAAAAGCCCGAGTGTCAGTCTGTTTGAATAAAACGAAGAGAAAACATTTGTTTGAAAGGCTTTTGCATGTCGTGCAATTTAACTTTGAGAATCGCTATGGCTGTACCGTGATTACTGAAATACAGAGAGTAGTTCTTTGACCATCGGATGAAATTTTCTATGAAAAGTCGTCTCTAAAGCTGCTGCAGACGAGTTGTATTGAGTACACCTCAATTCAACGGCGCATTACTGAATGGGTCAGTGTGTTTCCAACGGGATGGGGGCAAAGGGGCAGTGTATGAACTTCTTGGTCCACGCTCCCTCCAGTTTGTAAGAGCGCTCTGCTATGCATCTTAAAGAACATAATGTTTCTTTCAAATATCTGATGAAGTCGTTTTACTGAAAAGAGAAGTTTGAGTCCATCATTGTAGTTTTCTTTCCTTCTGCTCCTTCTGTAGGACTACACACTGACCATGTACTTCCAGCAGTACTGGAGGGACAAACGTCTCGCCTACATAGGAATCCCCCTAAACTTAACTCTGGACAATAGGGTCGCCGACCAGCTTTGGGTCCCCGACACCTACTTCCTCAACGACAAGAAGTCTTTTGTTCACGGAGTCACTGTCAAAAACCGCATGATTCGCCTGCACCCTGATGGAACCGTCCTCTACGGGCTCAGGTAGGTTCCGTCTTCCCTTTTTGATCTTGTAAGACACATGTGTTCTAATGATCTGAAGCAGACACTGGAAGGGTGATCGATATCCTTCTCAGAAGGTTTAATTTAACTGCACATGTAAGGTACAAAATTCGCTGGGCCATCCTGAGACGCCATGAAGTCCCTGGAAATAGCGCTGAGCCTAGACCAGTACAAATGAGAACTGGCCACACCTCCAGGAAGTAGTCACTGCTGACTATAGGAAGTCCCTATACTACCTCATGTTACCAGCTCCCTGCCAATGATCCTCCTCCTGGAGTTTGTCTGTTGCGAGTGCAAGCGTGTAACTGAGAAATTCTTCCTACAGGAAACAGAAAATGGTAACAACAGATCCACCTTCTCTTACATGAAACTTTATGATGCTCAAAAACAATACACATAATCACACATTTCAGTAAGATATCATATAAACTGGTGAAAATATACGTATAGCCCAGTCTTCAGTACTTTAAGATATTTTAAAATAAAAACATTTACTGCTTGTACGTCTCGTCCACATACAAAGGTGGTTTTTGAGAATACGCGTTCTAACGTGAAGGTTACTGAAAACCGGGCAGTCTCTTTGCACCGGTGCAGTTTGCCCACATTTAAACGAGTGGTTCTGCATGTATTTTTGAAGCTAACAGCACGTGCTGAGAAGGTTAGTTTGTGAGAGGAAATGTTGAACAATGCTGAACGTGCCTAAAGTACATTCATAGCTATTTCCGTGAGCTACAGAAGAAAATATTAGCAGCCACTGATAAAAGTAATGCAGAGATTTAAACATCAAATTTATTAGTAATTTCTATTCTTTTCATCAGATAAGAAGGCCATAGTCAAGTGATTTTGACAAATATACACAAATGATAAATAAATGTCAATTAGTTGCCAAAGAACCGGAAGAAAACTTTTTTTTTCTCACTTGCCCTCGAACAAGACGGACACGTTTCTTCGCTCTCCTGCTTTTGTTCTTTGTCCTGTGTATCAGAGCCTCTCTTTACACATCTTTCGAATCGTAAAATATTATTATGGATCTGGTCAGTTGGTCTCTCAACACAATTGATAATTTTTTTTACAAGAGACAGGGTGCTGGAGAGCCCTCATGTCCGAGCGGACGCACGCAGCTGGGTATGTCATGGATAACACGTGTGCATAATTGGATTTATGTTACAGGGTTTCTGATTTTGGATCGGTGGATACCTAGGATATCGACAAATTAGTAAGATGTCAGCAGTAGTTTCAGCCCTGGTAAAGCTGCCAACCTCATGTGATGGATTAATTTGAGCTTCGAGCTTCGAGCTCTCAGACTCGTATGTGTTTCGAGCTCCCTGGAACTCACCGGTATGATGGATTCGACCCTGGAGAAAAGCTAACAAAGCACGGACCGGCAGAATGTCCACAAATCAGGCTGTTTGGATTCACCATTGAGAATTCCAGCAGAACTGAAGGCAGACAGGGACCAGAGTCTGTCTGCCCAAACAATTGTTATTTATCTGAATCTGGCATCCCCGCTCGGCCTTGGAAGGTCAACTTGCCTCAAATAAATTGCTCCTGTTCGATATGTAAGTAAAGAAGTTCTGCTTTGTCCAACCCCCGCAACCCCCTGAGAACTTCTGTGAACACTTATCGGAGCTGTACCGGCTGAGAGACACTAACATCTTATCAGGACTATGGATACTCGTACTGGCTGGGAGACACTGTAA